GGGTCAAACAATGGCAAACAGGTATATGGCGGGCAAAACACAAGAATAGTCCCAGGGCTAGCGTAGGTCACCGATCGGCAGACAGAATCACAGGGGCGAGACGAGAGGGAAAAATCCAGGAATACAGGCAAAGATCAGAAACCGCGGAAACAGGCAAGGCAAGGCAAAACAAGGAAAACACAGAGACTCGGAATGGGACTCGGAAAGGGGTACGGGCTAAACAATACTCAGCAGAGAAAGGTGGTTAGAGTGGGTGTTATATAGTGAGTGAGGTGATTAGAAACAGCTGTGTGCAATGAGTGCAATCAGTGCAGTGTGCAAATCGTGCAAAGAATGATGGGATATGTAGTCCGGGGTGCTATGCAACAGTTTGTGTTGTGCGAGAGTCAATGTAATGGAAAGGGTGACCTCTGGTGGTGAATAAACGGAAGTCCATGGACCGAATTCGTGACAATAGTTACATCAGCAGACATTATTGATTCCTTTTCCTCCAGCTGTCTTTGTAGTTTTCAAAGTCCATACCATGTGGAGAAGCAACACAGGATGCAATATAAGAAATAACTGTATGGCACAGTGTAAATGTCAAAAGTGTTCTCCTCTTTTACAATGTCTGTTGGTTCATGGTAAAAGTGAACTCACCATGTACATAGAACTAACTTTCCCAAATAAGAGTTGAATAGAAAAATTAACATGAACAAAGAAGGTCACAAAATGTAACTAATTTAGCTATTTGATTAGTAACCTAAATATTTCTTATATTCATTTGATATTTCAAACATCATAACATTTATTTGATTAAAAAAAAATCCAAAAAGTTAATTCTTTGGCTTAAATTTGACTTGAATCTAATATTTTCAACATAGTCTCTGACTTTTGGACCGCACTGTATAATGAACATGAATGCCATTATGTTCTTAAACGTGCATAGACGGCAGTAATTTCCCATCTCTCCTTGTTCATATAAATTTGATGTACTAATGTACAAAATGAGAATGTGTTTTGAGGAAAATAACCTCATCATTCCATATGACATTTTTAGGAAGGGCTAAATAGTCCATAAATTTGAACATAAAGTCATAAATGCCAGAATAAGGCAGAAAAGGGGAGAAAAGTTCAAATTGTAAATGTGCTGTGAATAATGAGATCTCCAGCTGAATGTGGGCAAGAAGGAGATAAAAAGATGAGGGAAAGAAGGAGAGAAATTCGACTGTAAACAGTGGAAGGCAAAAGAAGGAAGGTAGAGTGAGAAAGAGAGAGAGGGAGTGAGAAAATCTCATAAAAGCACTGCTGCATATGGCTACATTTATGCCGGTATACTGTATGTGGGAAAGGGACGGCAGGTTATGATCGGATACAGAATGAACTGCTATGGTTTCATTGGGTTACATTAGCATACCACAACCCTGATCTCAGCCCCTCTAGGTTTATGTTTGGAATATGCATGTATATATTAAATGCTTGCTTTTTTTGTCACGTAATGAAAGCAAATGTGCGGCAGATCTGATTCATGGAGTGATAAAGCATCTGTTCAGATGTAAGAATCATCTGAATACAATTACTATAAAATGAAATGTTATTGAGTCCTCATTCAGTCAAGGATTTCATGGCTTTTTGAAGCATTATGAGAGCCACAGAAATATTTTCTGATATTACATAAGATAAAACACCAAACTGAATACCTGAAGTCATTTGGTTATATATAATGCAAATTCATATTTTTTTAAAGGAAGTGTAGTTATTAGTCTCTTATTGGCCTGTTTAAACAAGCCCTCTATAAAGCAAACAAAACAAGCCCTGCAGATTAATAAAATAACAAGTTTTACTTCAAATGTGGCTTCTTATTAAAGAATGAGGCAGAAATTCTATTATTTAATAGTATTCTATACAGTGACAAGGGCTATTTCGATTAGTATTGCATTATAAATATATAGTTCAGTCATGAAACTCTAGGTGGCACATTCTGACGGGGGGTTATTTTATATGCTATTTGTGCAGCAGCAGTATGTCTTAAATACTCATGGCACCGTGGTGAGATGGCTTGAGGGACACAGATAAACCATATACTGTTGCATTCGTGTGCTGATTCTCTTCACGTTTCATCTGTCAAACATTCCCATCCGCACGGCATTCAGCCACAGCGACAGTTGGATGCTTTTGAACATATAAGGGATTTCCTGGAAAGTCATTTGTTTTATTATTCCTATTAGTCTCGATTTTGGACTTTCTGTATGAGGACACCCTCCGTCATCGAGTATGAATAAAACATAAGTTACATGTGAGAGTTTAGCGCTGCGTGCTTTTTCATTTTTATATCACATATCACGACACCCCTAATTAACACGATAACATTATATAAAATTTTTTGGACCCACTTTATATTAAGTGGCCTTAACAACTATGTACTTACATTTAAATTAATAATTTGGTACAATCCACTTATTGTGTACATACATGTTTTACATTGTACTTATATTTTAAAAATACCTTAATGTAATTACATCTGTAATTAATTTCTGTAATTACATTTATAATTACAGTTGACCCATCCCTTACACCTTAACCCACCCTTAAACCTACCCATACCAACAAACCTGTCCCTAACCTTACCTGTTTCCCACCTCAATAGCAGCAAAAGTGTTTTGCAATACAGTATGAACACAATAAGTACATTGTACTTAATTTTTGATGTAAGTACATAGTAGTTAAGGCCACTTAATATAAAGTGGGGCCCATTTTTTAAATACCACGATTATCGCCAATACCGGTATATTGTGACACCTCAATTAAGAGATTAAAATATTAGTTGTACTGATCTATTAACAGATTAAAATATTAGTCACTATTGTTCTATTAAGAGATTAAAATATTAGTCATTATTGTTCTATTAAGAGATTAAAATATTAGTCACGTCACGTCACATCACTTCGATTCAATTCAATTCAGTTCAATTCAATACTTGCTTAACTGGCATGACAATTGTTACAATTTATTGCCAAAGCATAGTATTTACATTGAATCTAGAGATATGTACAGATATGTATTTAATAATAAAAAATAATAAATGCATGTATATCATTTTTTTTTTTTGAGCAAATCAACATTTTAGAATTCTATATACAATTTAACATTTAGAGTGGTGTGTGTGCATGTGTGTGTCTGTTGACGCATCACTGATTTGTTGACTCCTCCCTCTTTTTGTGACAGGCGTGTATCTTGCTGCTATTAAGATACAATCTCTTTTTTCACCTTAAATATTAATAATAAATATTAAGTTGTGTTTTATTGTTTAACATTTTGAAGTCAGGGTAAAGTGTTTCAAATTTTGGATAAAATTTCTTTCAAATTTTTTTTCAGTTACGGCAGCTGGTGAGGAAGTGTTGCTCTGTCTCCACTTCTCCATGGTTACAGTATGGGCAGATGTGGCTCTCTTTGGGCAGCCAGTTCTGCTGATATCTGCCTGTCTCTAAAGTCAGAGTATGACTGCTCAGTCTGTACCTTGTCATTTGTCTTCTTAATTCACAGTCTTTCACGGTACTCAGATATTATATTATTGTAGTTGCTATTGCAATATTAAGAGTAGGGCTGTCAAGATATCAGATTTTTCACTACACTATTATCATGGCCAAAACAATGATATATTGCGATATCTACAGAAATCTAGAAAAAGATATGAAAATATTATAATAAATAATAATAATTAAAAGAACACATTTTATGCCCTCAGCAACGAGTATGACTTTCATTTAGAAATCTCATGGTTATATCACAACAGCTCTAATTAACAATTACGAAATTTCCTCTTTTTTTTTTTTAATATCACGATTATAGTCAATACAGGTATATTGCAACACCCCTATTCTCTCTCTCTCTCCCTCTGTATGTGTATATATATATATAAAAAAAGTCTCAAAATATAAAGTCAAAATCGTGAGATGTAAACTCATGAATATTTTGAGAAAGTCGCAATTAACTTTTATTTTTTATTTTTTACTCCATGATGGAAAAAAATCCCAGTGAATAACTAAAAAGCATATGCCATATATTTATGTACATTTTTTAAATGAATGTGTTCAGTGGAAATGCTTTCATTATATAGGTTCAACATGCACTCATTTGTCATTATTAGTTTTATGTAGCCAACATCACATTAGCAAACAACATGATTATGCACTTCCAGACCTCCCTGATAATTGTAATACAATTATGTTGTGACTGGTCACTGTAGGCTTTTCTTCTGCTGTCAGAATCAAACAGAGACACATGCTTAGACAAAATGACAGGGGAAGAAAAGAAAGAGGGAGTCTGAGCTAAAACTGAGCTTAACTGACAGTCTGAGCCAATGCTCAGTGATTTAGTCTTGTGTGTGGGAGGCTCAGCGCTCATGGGATCATTGCACATTGTAATGCCCTGTGACACCAATGGAACTCTTTCTCCAAGGCCTTACAATTGGTGCTTGTCTCCTCAGTGTTGCGCAAATGTCTTAATTTCTCTCAGTTTCTGAGGGATGCTAATGTCTTTTTAAGTGGCCCGAATGCATTTCTATCTGTATTTGATAATTCCCCTAATGTGACGCTGTTTCTAGCTTGTACAACATTTTGCAATGGAAGGTGTTGGGAAATTCTTTTAAGAGTTTTTCAACTAAACTGTCTGTGCTGAAGACAAATTGGCTTGTCCTTATTTCAAGTAGTGATCAATCAGCAGTGCACAATGATTGCTAAAGTTTTAATAAAACCTCACTTTGTTGCTCCTATATAGTTACAGTAGGTGACTTGTACTCATGTCATGTGATTAACGTTATTGCCTCTGCTGTTTTTTTTTTCCTATAACACCCACACTGAGTCGCTCAATAACTCACGCATTCATATTATGAACCATCTCATGTTCTCTCATCTCACTAGATTTGAAGTTCATAACAGCTCAATATAATTCATTCACCTTCTCCAAGGTTTCACAGTAATAATAACCATAATAACTTTTCTCACTCTCCTTCTGTTTTTCAGATGAGTTCAAGGCCTTTCTCAAGAAATTGCCAACAGATCATTTTTTAAACACCTCTGCTGTCTTAAAGTTCTGGACATCAGATCTGGTCCTGCAGAGACGTTATGGTCTGCTGGAGGCGAGCACTAAAGTGGTGCTGGGAAAAGCCATCAAGATAGTGCGCAAACTCTTCGCTCTCAGCAAGCGCTGTCCTACACAGCCAAAGATCAGCCTGCCTAGAGAAAGGTACGAGGCCATATGATCTTTTTTTTTCTTTCATTGCAACACATTTAAGGTAGTATGTACAATGTGAGTTTCAATTAAATGTATAGTTAATCCAAAACCCGAAACTACATCATTTACTTTTTACTTTTTTTGATTATGAAAACAAAAAGTTGCCAGATATCTGAAAAGACAGATGAGAAATGAGGCTGGAGGATTTTAAAGATTTAAAATTTAGGCTGCATTTAAACTGTAGGTCTTGATGCCCAATTCCAATTTGTTGACTATATCCCCTTTTTATTTTTTGACAACCAGTTTACATCTCCTTTTAAAAGTGACCCATATCCAATATCTGCATTTACACAACTTAAGTTAGACATACTGACCCAGAAAAGTGTTCACCTGAGTTGACGTCATTTGCCGCCATCACTTTTTCCAATTTGTCCGCTTGCATGGCAGACACAAATGCATGTATCGGAATCCTTGTGGGGTTTTTTTCCTGCTTACATGGTCATGGGTCATATCCGATCTGTGCCCCATCTGAGAAAAAAATCGGAATAGGGTCACTTGAACCATGTAATGTAAATGCGGCCTTGGACTTGTGGTTCCCATATAGAGTGAAAGTTTCTGAAGAGTGGTCAGTGTGTGCACACTATAATCAAGAGCTCCAAGCAAGTGACAGGTTGTAGTTAGCATCCTTCAGTTTGAAGACTTTCACTAGTCAAAAGAATTTTCGTGAAATTCTTAAGTGATGTCGTCAGTGCACTGAAAATAAAGATTAAAAACAGGGTGACTTTTCTTAAAAGAAAACAACTTGTGCATTCATAGTTTTATAGTCACAAATTCTAGGGTTAATTTCATTGCAAACAATCAGCTATGTAACGAAGATGCCCTCAAAAGAAAGTCACTAATGTCTGGCCAAGTCTAAGATCTGAACAGAAATAATTCCAGAAATGCAATTCTTACTAAAAGTAATTCCAGAAATGCAGTTCTTCGTGTTCTATTCAGTTTGTTTGAATGATAATAAAGCAAAAATATTTTAACTGATGACTGATTTCAGAGGAGTTTTTCATCAAAATAGAAGATTCACATAAGAGATAACCAGTACTAAATCATTGAACCAAGTTGAACCAAGATGCATCTGTCTGAGTCAACATTAATGTGTAAGAACTGCTTAGTGGTTTATTTAACTGCCTGAATGGCATCTTGACATCAAAGGCTCTCATGAACAAGAAGTACATGTTACATTAGTGGATTTATAAGATTATTAATAAACTCAAGAGTCCAGGACAAAAGGATGCCTGATGAAATGAAATCTCACAGGGAGGCAGCCAACAGAAAGGGCATGTGATGCAAGACATTTTATTTATGTATGCATGGCATTACGTATGCGTCAACAGTTGTGAAGTGAGTAGGAAGATAATGGAGAGCCCATGGAGTTGGAGCATTTATTTAAGTGACTTGTCTGTCGCTAAATTGGATGAAAGAGAATAAAAAGAATGCACCGTCTCCTCACACGCATCCCCAAAGGCTTTTAAGACTCACTTCCTCTACTGGTTAAGAACAATTTGCATTTGTCAAAGAACGGGCCATCAGCACTCGATTAATATTCGTATCAATCAGCAAGAGGAAAGGAATGCCTCATTTACCACAAAGAAAATAAGGCCGATGTCAAGTCTTCACTGAACAATTTTAACATGTTAGTGAACAATTTTTCTTGTCAGCGAAGCCCAGATTTCTTTCGATTTCATCTTTATTTAGTAAAGCCAAGCCTGTCATTTTTTCAGGAACTAATCTTGTCCGTAATTATCACCTTCTTCCTTGCAGGACTCTGGGTTTTTGGCTCAACAAAGCCCAGTCTCTGTTGTACTGCAGCGAGCATGGTGTGTACGGCACCTTCTCTGAGGAAATGCAGGGCTGCATCTGCGCCGCTGAGCAACGCACTGTCTGCCAGGGCAACGTGCCATGTAAGGTGGGTGAGGGGACCCTCTGCTCGTCCTGCGCCCCAGACAACATCACCCGCTGTGGCACATGCCTCCCAGGCAGCATCCTCTATATGGGATTCTGTCGTCCCAACATTGCCAACTCTTTGGACCACTACGTCAACTTTGACTTTGACATGCCGGACGCAGAAATGCGCTACCTCCTCCAAAGGCTCGACAGCCGCATGGAGGTCCACGCCATCTACATCAGCAACGATGTGCGTCTGGGCAGCTGGTTCAATCCGGCGTGGAGAAAGCGCATGCTGCTCACCCTCAAGAGCAACAAGAACAAGTCCAACCTCATCCACATGCTGATGGGGATCTCTTTCCAGATCTGTTCCACCAAGAACAGCACGCTGGAACCCGTGCCTGCTATCTATGTCAACCCCTTCGGGGGCAGCCACTCCGAGAGCTGGTTTATGCCCATCAACCAGCAGGAATTCCCAGACTGGGAAAGAACTAAATTGGACGCCTCACTCCAGTGCTATAACTGGACCCTCGCTCTTGGCAGTAAGTGGAAGTCCTTCTTCGAAACTGTGCACATTTACCTGCGCAGTCGCATAATCACAGACGATCCCACCGCCAACGAGACGCTTTTTTATGAGCCACTGGACCTGGATGACCACTCGGCCAACCTGGGCTACATGAAAATCAATAGCATGAAGGTCTTTGGCTACAGCATGCACTTTGATCCAGAGGGAATCAAGGACCTGATCCTGCAGTTGGACTACCCGTACACACAGGGTTCGCAGGATGCGGCCTTCCTGATGCTTCTGGAGATGAGGGACCGCATTAACCGGCTCTCTCCGCCAGGAGCCCAGCCGCTGGACCTCTTCTGCTGCCTGCTGAGGCACAGGCTCAAGCTTTCGTCCAGCGAGGTGGTACGCATACGGGAAGCGCTCCAGAGTTTCAACGCCAAGCTCCCCAACTCCACCGAGCCAGAACTCAGCCAGCTGTGCAGCTAGCTCAAATGAGGCTCTGTTGCTCATTTTTGCCTGCCTGTGAGAATATATTTGTAAATGTGATCAGAGAGAAAGGGAAAAGAAATATATTGTCAGTGTGCGTGTAAATGTTTGTGGATGAGATTGTCTTTGAATCCTCTTCCTTTGGGCAGCAATTGTAAGAAGCAGAATTTTTGATTGTGACTGATACAGGAGCGTACCTTAGAAGCCGTATGTTCCCAGAATATTCCCTTGCTGGGAAAACCTTGTTGGATCTAGCCTACAGTCAAACTACTTAGTGTCTTTGAGTAAGGGTTCCTTTTGAGACGATGGAGATTTTAACTAAGTGGACTGCCTCTTCATGATTCATGAAAAAGAAAATTTTAAGTGAGAATATATAGCTACGATTTCTTAGCACATATGTGCTGAAGTTGTAGTTATTCTTGGTGATGTCATTGTTCAAGACGAATCCGGAGAATCGATCTATTCCGATGTTAAGTGTCAGAGCACAGTGGTCCAATGGTTATAACAATCAGCAAAGAATCAAATGTGCTTTTCTATTTTATCTGGAGTCGCAAATCCTGTATTGTGAGATCTGTATATCTGTATTTAATGTGGGACTGAATTGCCAGAATGTTGAATAGAAATTCCTTTGTATTCCAGAGATATTGCTAAACCAAAAGGTAAACATGAAAGCAAATTGAATGGCAAAATTTCTTTACTGTTTTTTTTTTTATGTTCACTGAAATCTCTTTTGAGAAGGCAACCTTGGGTTATGAGTCCGACTCTCTAACCATTAGGCCACAACTTCCCCTAAGGTTAAGGTTGCAGTACATACTTACAATATTGTTTTGAACAGGTTTGTGGGCTGCTTTGTAAATACTGCTCATCTCATTCAAGACGTGAAAAGCTTCACAGTGCTTCTTGGATATATACAGATAAACACCCATATTTGTACTTTTTTGAAAGTGCAAAGACCAAAAAAAAAACAACAACATACACTTCAACACAAAACAATTGCCTTACGAAGTGAAGTCTCTGTTCTGATATCAAAGCACACCTGGCTGTATGTCTCTCTCTTTAAGAAAAAAAAAATTTTTTTTTTTCTCTTTCTTTTTTTTCCTCAATACTAAATTCTAATTTCAATTAGAGTGACCTCTAATCTGTAAATGTCAGGTTTTTTTTATTTAATTATTATATGAGGAGTGCATTACATGTTATCTATGTGCAAATACAGAGCAAACTATTTGCATCACCTGGTTCAATAGCTTTGTTTTCCACAACATTTCCCTGCTTTTCTATTAAACATATGATGATGTGAAGACGCATAACTGTAATACATGAATTAATTTAGTATCTCTACATCTAGAGGCAATTATTTCCATTCAGCATTTAATAACCATACATGTACTGCTTAAGTGTTCTTGATTAAGTTACTTGGGTTGTAGCATTTGTCAGCACAAACAACCACAGAATTACAGCCTTTGACAACACAGAGCATTTATTACTGTTTTTATATAAAACTGGAATGTGTGGAAATGTCTGTGAAAATTGCGTATATGCATCAACATAAAAAAAGATCAGTTTTCTGTCAAGATAAGATGGATCGCTCAATATATGGGGAGCAACTTTTACAGCGCTACATAAAAAAAACAAAAACTGAATAAAAAAAGTGCAATTTATGCGGTTGTCATGGAGAGCTGTAGGACCTTCACATTGTCTGTCACGATATATCTGTGACTCAACTGAGAAGGGGGAAAAACATTCTCGCTAAATTCAGAAGATGGAAATCACAGGGAGTCTGTAAATATGAGTTGTTTATCTTAATGTCTAAGAGAGGAATCAGTTGTCGCACCTTCAACAAATTGTCAAGACAGTGAAGAGCGTCTAAACTGGCATAGTCTCTTTCTTGAGAAACAGAGTCTGAATATTTCTGTATTTTATGATTTATGACTAAACTGCCTGACGTTACAATGTATTTTTGGTAACACTTTATAATAACTTTCATAAATTTACTTATAAACAATACTAACATATATACTGTATACTACCGTCCAAAGGTTTGGGATTGGTGCGATTTTTTAAAATAACTTTTTCAAATAAATCTGTTAGTGTCGTATGTATACTTGAAATATTTTAAAATGTAATTTATTCCTGTGATGGCAAAGCTGAATTTTCAGCAGCCATTACTCCAGTCTTCAGTGTCAAACTATCTTTCAGACATTTTTTTTTCTTGTTATTATTAATGTTGAAAACAGTTGTGCTGCTTCATATTTTTGTGGAAACCATGATATATTTTTTATGGGATTCAGCTGCATTTATTTTAAATAGAAATCTTTTGTGACATCATAAATGTCTTTACTGCCACTGTCAATTTAAAACGCCATTGCTGAAAAAAAGCAATTCGTTTATTTTAAAAAAAGAACTCTTACTGACCCCAAATTTCTGAACTATAGTGTACCTTAAAGTTATGAATATTACTTTAATGTGTATAATGTAATCTATTAACAAGTGATAGTTTAGGCATTATGTAGGCATAATATATTGTTCAAATATGTATTATATAAAAAGATATGAAAGTTATTAAATAGTGTCACCTATTTATCTCATGGACATGTGAGATATGAATCATCTTTTTAGTTTGTTTGTTTTTTATCCCCCAATCTAATATATTTCTGATTAAAATCGCTCTAGCCATCATGGTATCATTCTTGTTTATGTGCACAGTTGACTGAGAAAGCTATTACATTTTTCTGTGCAAAGTCATGAGATGAAAATTCATTATTCACTGAGGCTCTGACCATCTACTCAGATTGTGCTGTACCTATTGTAATACACTCTCATGTCAAAGTGAACATACTAATATCTAATCCAGCTATTTTTGGGATTCTAGTTTAAACAATTTAAGCTTTCTTTAAGCAGATTTCATGTTAACTTCCACCAAATATCTAAAACGGTACTCTGTATTTCATTTGAGGCTTTTACCTTCAACACAGGCCAGGCAGCTCTCAGATTCTTTACTGTAACAGTTACAAGCAGCTTTGTTTTCATTTCTTTGGGAATTCACCAAGGGTTTTATTCTGATATTGCTTCTCAGATACACAAGATTATGATTTTCTAGAAACATGTCAAATGTGGCCTACTTTCAGGCTTTTTCTGCACGCTGTTTCAGTGACTTAAAAATAAAATGTGAGGTTTTTCAGATTCCAGGAAAGCATTTGAAACCCAGTCCTTATTAGCATAGTTTGAAAAAAAATAAATCCTCTAATGTGCACAGTAATGCTGTGGCAAGGGGGCAAAAAATGTTTTGTAGTGAAATCATTGCATTAATTAATTTCAGCCTGTAGTTATTTACTGAGCATGCTCTGAAACAAAATGGCATGTTGTCAAGCGAATCCAGCTCCTGGAGTTTGAGGTATCAGTTAGCGTCATACTAGTCGCTGAGTGAACTTACACATCAGGACTCCTAGAAAACCTCAGAAAGGAAGGACATTTCAGCCCTGTACTTAATTCCAGTTGCAATCAACTTCCCTCTCATCCTATCTTTAAACTTCGTTTCTGTGTTGAGGATAGCCAGACACCCATAACTGTATATCTGTATGAACACAGCATTCCAGACAGCTTTACCATGCTGTAAACATCAAGTGACTGAAATTGTATCTCTGTATCTCTCATAAACAGCCTGTACATCCACCTTTTTTTTATATATAATATTCAAATAATATTTAATCTCACAGAGTTCAGTCCAGGGTCCTGCCTTCAGCCTCCATGCTTTGCCATAGTGCAACATATGCTTTTTTTTCAATGTCCCGAACCAAAGTGCTGAATGTAAATAGTCTGAGTGCATCCATTTCTATGAGAGACAATATAGCTCCGTTACGAGCGTGAGGTGCCAGCTTGAAGTATTGCAGAGGGGATTCTGTATGTGGTGTATGATTCTGTACAGAGTCAGATATGGGCAGTGTGGTCGTGAAATGAAACATTATCTTTATACTCTTAAGATCATTTCTCTCTCTCTTTCTCAATGTTTTAACAAGATGTAAATGTTCTTATATGAATTAATAAAAGGATGAAACAATCCTTTCCCCCCATGGAGTCTAAATAAATGCTTCACTGGGTATGTGCCATCTCCTTTCTACCATGAAGAGCATACTCTTTGATCTGTTATACAGCAACAGACGACCATTAAAAGATTAAATGTAGCCATTGTTTTCCATGGTACTAATCATTTACTTTTATGGAGACATTAATTTGTAGGCTAATTTCTAATAGGTTTTTAGAACAGCAGTTTTCTATTTAAAATAAACAAGGTCTGTAGTTCACAGGGTTGTCCCTTATTTGGAATTAAACTGAGAATATATTTTAAACTCCAATTTCAAAATTTAAATTTGAACTGATTTTATGTATATTACGCAACATAGGCTCATTGGAAAAAAAAAAACATGCCTTTTTATAAAATTTTGCAGAACTCCGTAAAACAAACAACTGTTTCACAATTCACGGCATATTACAGTTGAAATGACCACTAGTGACAGTAAAACACCAACAACTTTTATAAATTTTCACACAAATTATGATTACAGCGGCAGATTATCGACTAATAAAGACTTACAGTATTTTCATGCAGTTCCTTGCACAGTACTATGTTTATCGACTAATAAAGACTTATTTTCATGCAGTTCCTTGCACAATACTATGTTATGACCTCAAAATACTTTTACCATTGCGCCTTGTTTGTAAACGAATACATTTAGTTGTTTGCAACACATAATCAGCACTATATATGTATGGCTATTCTGACATGGTAAACTTGTTCGACAGCACACCTGGTACAACACTGCACTTTCAATAAAGAGCGCTCAGGAATGAGTCCTGTGAAATATGATTCACAATAAAACAACCCAAAGACTTATAAAAGCAAACTATGGTATGGTTAGTGAATCTGTTTTTATCTCATACTTGCTTTTGTTAATACTATGGGTTAATGTTTAGTGTAGGTGGAGCATTATTTTCAAATGTGATAGAGCATTAGCCTTTTAGGGCCATTTCATTTCCGAATTCTAGCGATATGTACAACAAACTACAAATTAAAAAGTTACCAGATTAAGATAAATGTTTCGGATAAATCTGAATGCACTTTTGGCTCCACTCACTGGACATTTCCTTTTGAAATTGTGATAAAAGTGGTATGAAGCAATGAAATATCATTCTGCAGAAATGTCGCACCAGGCATGTTTTTCAATGAGCCTGGGTTGATATTACAATAGCAAACAGGAAGCAGAATCATTAGAAATTCCCAGTGCAAATCCTCAATGACAATGATAATTCCCTTTCAGGTTTTAGGACTACAAACTGAAAAGGTTTATTAAATATAAGGGGACAGAACTGTTGCTGTATGTTTATGAGAGAGGCCATTCTGACCTCAGGGACTCTTTCCTACCGACTCTATATGTCCCTGCTGGAACAGAAATCCTGTGAGGAAACAGGAAGATAAGCGAGTCAGGGAGTTCAAAATATAATCTGACTTCAACACACCACACCACAGAGCAAATAAATTCTTCCTGATTCTCCTCCAGTGTACATTTGAGGATTCAAAGGCAGATAAAGAGACACCACAAACAGGTTTAGCACAACTGAGAACAGGAAGAAAGTTAACAAGACAGGTTTCCATGGGCATTGAGGGTGGATACACCGGCCTAGTTTATTTGTTCCATCTAAAACGGGGGTTTTAAAGAAATGAAAAGGTCAAAGCTGGTAGAGGAA